CTACATGACTAAAATTAAAAGAAGAGATAAAAATTTGGATAAATTTGAAATAAAATAATTATTTATCGAGACCGAAAAGGCCTTTTTCAACAAATGAATTATTATTTAATTTAAATTTATTTGTTATCTATATTTCTTAGTTAGTATTGTATGTTAATTCAGATTATACATATTAAAATGTTTTCTTAAAAAAATTGTAGTGTTTTTATTTTTTTTATTTGATACACTAAATTATTATAATGATTTTTATAAGAATGATTTTTTTGTTTGTTGTAGATCTTGCCTAATTCATCTCTGTATATCTTGGGCTATTTCTTTCCAGTTACCTGCATGCAGTTCTATTGCATTTTTGTTGATCTGATCTATCCATCTAGTTTTTTACTTTCCGCGTAGTCTCCGGGTAGTTCTGTTCCTGTCAGCGGGTGAAGGATTCAAGCGTAAATTAATAAACGTGGTTTATTTAATAATATTAAGAAAAAAATGTTATGATAGGCCGATTTAATGCAGGATATAAACCTAAAATAATATTAATAGTTTGTAAATTGAAAAAAAAGAGAAAAGCATAAAAATTGCTTATAAAAAAAAACCAAAAAAAAAAACCGTCTTCATGTCGAAGCGAAATCGTAGTTCTATAGTAATTATAAAATAAATCGTGTAGGTGGATTTCGAATGATATCTCACTATAATTATTATGATTTCTAAATCGGACAGTGGCTATTACACCTCCCACCCAGAATGAATGACATAGGATTCAGCCAGATTGATAATAAAATGTAGAGTATTTTAGTCGAGTGTGGAACAGTAGTTATGCGAATAGTTAACTGGAAGGAAGAACCAGTTCAAGATGGGAGGTAACCAGTTCCTCAAACTGGATGCTTGGCCCTCCAGCCATCTCTACTCGCTTTAACAATATAATTACCATCATTGCTCATTGCTAACCTCCACTACCAGAGTAGGACAAATAATGAACTAAAAGTGATAAGAATTATATGAGAGAGTCATTAAAATATAACAAAACAGACTAAGCAAAGCCAGCAACAACATATTCAAACCCCAAAAATATTTGAAATATATCCATCAAAGAATAGTTAAAGGACATTGTAAATATATGTATATATATATATATATATATATATAATATATATATATATATATATTTTTTTTTTTTTTTTAAATAAGCCATTTATAAAAAAAAAATCTGAATTATTATATATAAATAAATTACTTCTCAAGACCCTACTTAATAATATTCAAAGCTTAATAATATTTATTTAATTTAGAATTTAGAACATAATTTTGTAAACATTGCATATATGTATGAATGAATTTTAAATAACTTTCTTCAAAATTTTCTATTAAACTTTTATTTACATTTTTGATATCAACTAATTTCGTTATCATAATTAGACTTTTATTTGTGACGCTCATGAATTATTTTACTTCCATCGTTATCTTTTCTTTATTGCAACTTATTGGTATTATTATTATTTTATATATTTGTTTTTTTCTTAATGTTTACTTTTTTCTTGATTATTTATTTTGTTTTGTATGCACCCTAATATATTGTATGAATCGTACAATTTAAGCAACTTATACAAATTAGTTTGTATACTAAGGCTCTTATTTGTATTGAAAATATTGCCTGATGTAACTGATAAGTTGAGTGGGGATCAAATTTGAGTGTAGTAAAATCATTGAAATATGAAATTAAATAATTCATATTAGTAAATATTTTATATATATATTGTTACTTATATCTGTTAAAAACATCACCAGTAGCAAAATGAATTAGTTGTATGAAACGTCTATAACATTTATTGAGCTTGGGTGCGGCAGGTTGTATAATTATTTAATAAATAATAAATGGCCAGCTTTGTGATATTCCTTTAAACGCGTATTCTCTATAATACAATGTTTTTCCATCAAATGGTGTTATATATTATAGGCGTATTTCAATGTATTATATTATCAGGTTTGAAAGTTTTCATCCTTTATCAAAATAATTTTAAATTTCTTCTTCTAATTTTTCTCTCCGAGTGTCTAGCAATATACATATACGACAAATAACTTAGTTTTTTTTTTTTTTTGTGAAGAATATATAAATACGTAATTGTTGCCGCAGAATTTTTATTAGAAATCTAATTTTTCAATATTAACCATACCTTTAAAATATCGATATTTCGCATTGGTATAGTAACATCCTATCTCTTTTTTAGGATTAAAAATATCGTTAATATTAAATATATTTATTTTCTATATATCGAATGAACACTGATATTTTTAAAAGCTATCGATACAACATATATATGTATATTTACTTATGGGTTGTTTTTATCCATGAGCGTATGTACAATTCCAAAATCAAAACAGTAATAATTATAATTCTACAACATTTATGGGAATGAGTGAAGTATGTGAGTTCGTTTTATGTAAACAAATATAATTTCCTAATAAAATGCCATTTTCAGAAAAAAATAGTATGAATATTTAAATTTGTTTTCAACATTAACATTTTTGTTGACCTCTAATAATATATGCACATAGTTTTATTAAATAATCAAATCCTATAAAAATAATTAAATTTATTTATGTTTTATGAGCATTTATTTATATTGTTATTCGCGATATTAGTTATACCTAAATAGCCGATTAACGAATCAATCTAAATAAATAGAGAATGCTTGTAGTGGTATCAGAGAGGTTAACTCACAAGATAAACATCGATATTACAATGTCTAAATATTTCGAAATTTCTATTTTTTGTCTATGAATAAGTACAGCGAAAACCTATCCATATAATTTCCTATTTTTTTAAAAGAATAATGACTGTCCTGAAAGTAAACATTTCACCTAAATAACTGATAATAAAAGCTATTAAAGTTTGACGTATATGGGAGATGGCAAATTGGTACCTGTTTAAGGAGTGCTCTTTATGCGGGCCGTTGAATGATTCATCGCCTATCATTACCATCATTACAAAATGTAAATTACCATTCCGAAAAGCAATATGCATTAAGAAAAAAAATTAATGATTCGCTACGAAATATCAATGATTATAAGAAAGAACGCGCCGCTATATGGAGGGCATATTTCAAAATTGTTTTCAATGAATAATTTTTTTGCAAAATTTCAAGTTATATTTTTGGGATTCGTGTGTATTTTTGACAAATGTTCGATTACAGAAATGACGATTCTTTTGTCCCTCAATTTTTTTTTCATGTCCAAGACGACACATAAAAAAAATTAAATTAAATTAAAAAACAAATCGTCCCAAAAAATTCGTATTTTCCTTCATTCGTCTTTGTCTATTTAGGATTAAAAACAAATTCTTTCTCTGAAACCACTAGACTGTTTTTAAAGAAACTCCAAGACGTTTTCAGGAACAGTAGTGAGCGAAAAATATTACTTCACCACGTATGTTCTTTAATTTTATTCAAAATTAAAATTAGAAACAAATTTTATTTGAGACTATAAAAACGTCTGTCAAAAACTTCGTAACTGATTTCATGTTAAGGTAAACTACAACGTTTTTATATTCTAAAAGTCCCGGAAATAGAGGGCTTTCAATCTGAAGATCGGTAAAGTATGTCTATTTAATGAGGCACTACAATAAAGACGTATAAGCACCCAGTTACTTTCCTCATCAACAGTAAGATAATTTGATCACGAAATCGAGGAACAAGGTGGCCTACAAAAATATTGGGCCGTTTGGAATTACCTCCATTCCCAACATATTAACAAGGTTGTATAGGCCAAACGGCTCAATATTTTTGTGGGACCGAATTATCTAACGATTCGAGTGAAAATGTTCATTGATGAGTTTTTAGTACCGCATCAAATTAATTAATTTAACGATAAAACGTCTGAGAATCTTCGTTGATAAACAAGTTGTAAGTTACGATAAGATGAAGCTATTCATAAAGTTTTAATAAAAAACGGGTCTACACCACGGATTCGGGTCGCAAGCACCAACAATCCGGTACACACAAATTTCTTTGAATGTACCAACAACTATTTAAAAATTTGAAATTTAGAATATTTCACGATGTTGCTACAACATTTATTGCATGATTTTTTTTTTTCTTTTAGAAAGCTCATTTCATAACTGAAGTATTATTTAAGGAACAAGATGTTTTATATATATGTGTGTCTCTATTTATTTAGTTTTTTTTTTTTTACTGCTTCTCCTACACCTATCAAAAGTACAAACAAACATTGCTGGGTATGGCTTGATCGGCGTGAGGGAGTCGAATGCCCAGCGGCATACCATCCTGTCTTGATTTTAAGGTATTTCGAAGGGAGGATATCCCTCATCCAGCTATTTTTGAGCCTCTTAAGTGTGTTTTCGGTCATGTTAAATGTAACCATACTTTATATTAGTGTATTAGTATGTCCATGTAAGTTATAGTGAAATATTTTGTAGTGTGTCCGTATGTGGTAGTTAACTGTTTGTATTTGAAGGTCTTTAAGTAAAGTAATGTTTGTTACGTACCATGGAGCTTTAGTTATAGTCCTGAAGGTTTTTGACTGAAACGTTAGTAGTTTTCGAGTATGGGTCATTTTGGCTGTCCCATAAATTTGTGTAGCGTTGATCCATATAGACTTAAGTAGGTAAATGTAAGTGTTCAGTTTTTGTTTTAGGATTAATTTCCAGAGTCTTGAGAAAAGTGAATATAATAGTCGTACTCTGAGGTTTAACTGTTTTTTGCTTTATAAGTGGATCCCATGTCATTCTTCTGTCGAATGTCAGTCCACGATATTGTATTTTATCTGTTTGCGAAATTTCGGCATTGTCAAGGTATATAGGATATATAAACTATATTGTAGCTTCAGAGAATAATCATTAAAATAGAAATACTTCACCTATTCATTTGAGTGTGAATCTTACTATACTTTTTTGGCACTTCAATTTTATTTAAAAATTTTCATTTATTTCTGCATAAGCATTATCCTAGATCGACCAGTACAAATATATAAAATGAAACTTTATAATTCAATTATCATATTTGAGACATGACGTGAATAAGTACACCGTTAAGTACGGCCGCCCCACGTGACCAGCGCACCTGGACCCCACGTGCAGAAGTACCTGTTGATGACCAGACACTCCCTGCAGCAGGCCTGATGCAATAGGAAGTGGTTGCAAGGCCGCTACATTCACCGCCGATGATGGGCTTTTTATCTCTTGCAAATATCGTTCCGCAAGAACTTCCGTTCCTTTCCATCATCGGACTGGTCCAAAGGAAGAATTGGGTCGTTAGGAGATTTATGGGCTAACGTGTCAATAACGGAAAGAGCAATCGAAAGAGCTGAAGCGTACAGAATTTATTGCTTACTCTCAATGATTTCTCATCGTAACAATTTTTTTTTCTGACTTCGTCATTTGATGGTTGAATGAAATCTCAGCCATTTCTATTTCTGTACATAAATAGTTCTTTATGTACTAAATAAATGTTATTTTAATTTCCTATGCTTATTTTATAATTATCTGTATGTTTTTATTTCTCTGTGCAGTTTTATTTTAACTATATATTATTTTGTGAATATTTAATTTCATGCACTGCCAGACAGGCATTTTCTTTAATATTGAATATTTAATAGTTGACTGTTGTATTATAAAGGAAGGAGATGGTCCAGGGTGGCGGTCATAAATAGGCTAAATAGCGGAAAAACTATTTTATTAAAAGCCAACGTTTCGACCCGACTTTGCAGGTCTTCTTCGGGGAAGTGTGTTCAGCTAGGAGTATTTAGAAGTAGGAGCACTTAGAACTCAGTTCTAAGTGAAACGCCTAGCTGAACACACCTCCCTGAAGAAGACCTGCAAAGTCGGGTCGAAACGTTGACTTTTAATAAAATAGTTTTACCAATATTTAGCCTATTTATCACCGCCACCCCGGACCATCTCCTTCCTTCATTTCCTTTTATGATTTATTCTAAAGGAACAACAGTCACAGGATAATAAAAAATATTTCCATTCCATAAACGACAGGTATCACTAATTCAATTATCATCAATTTGTATCAACAGAGTCCTATGAAACAGAAAGTTGGTTGTTTCTTTTATGCTTTAGATACACAATGATCATGAGTTTGAAAAAAATACTAACCTAAGTGAATACAAAAAGTTTTTTTTTAAAGATTTTCATATTTTTCATCATATTTTTAGAATGAGTTCACATAGAAGCCCTGAATGTAAAAAAAAAATCTAAAAGCTATAAATTAGGATTTTCACATTTTAACCTTTTTTTTTAGGTGGAAGGCCTCATGAATTACAGTCTGCTATAGTGGTTGTTGACATTTTAAAAACGAAAAGTACAAATAACAGTATATTAATTAATAAGACATAGAGTAGGTATAATCACATGAGTGTTTTGTTCTAGATTACAATTATTATGATTAAGTATGACTGTTAGTTTTGATCTTGTTTTATCAATTTATTCATTCATATTTATTATTATTAATATTATTTTATTTATTTCTTCTAAGAATTTCTGAATTATTTTATTTCACTTCAAGTTACATTTCTTTTGTTTTTATTACAGCTTTTGCCTTTGTTAAACTCTTTTTATTTTATTTATTCATTTTTTATTGGGTTGTATATATGGTATCAATGTGCCTCACTCAGCTATAAAATTCAGTGCTCTTAACTATGGAAAAATGTATTATTTCTTAGTAAAACGTTTTAATTTTACCTGATTAAAATTGGAAACAAATTAACCTTCAACATTTTGCCTATTATACATATCGTGGCAACCTCAGGACGGAAAAACAAGATCACATCACACAATGACATCCAAATAAATAAGGGATATTGTATGTGTTTATACATATTAGGTAAGGTATGTGTTTATACACACATATATATCATTACGTGTGTTTGGATGTCATAGAGTGATGTGATATTGTTTTTTTTCTCTTGGTGATGCTTAAAATTGGCGGTGTTGATAATGTAATTTCTTTTTTACCGGCATTTTAAGACAAAAATTGTATGGTTGGTTTTTCCAATCATAATCTTATATTTAATTTCTGTCTCTCGTGTTTATTAATTTATTACTAATAAAATATGATTTTATATTCTTAATAAATGAAATACTTAATTATTTATCCAAATCTTCGACTCTTCAGGGATAAGATCTGATATTACAATATATTGAAAATTTTCATTTGAAAAAATATTTTAAAAATTTCTTTCAGAGGATTTACTAGTAGATATTAGCCCATTCACTGGCAGTGTGTCTATTTAAGTAAATCTACATAAAAATCGTTTGTATATATTTTTTCCAGATGAAAATGCACAATATATTGTAAAATCAGATTTTATTCTTAAAAATGGCAGAGAAGGCAAAACTTTTGAATAATTTAGAATTAAATATTTTAATTATTGAGTGTAAAAAGGCCTTTTTTCACTGTTAATTTATATCAATAATTTATGTTCGAGATATTTAAAAAGAAAAAAAACTTATACTACAGAATAAATTTATCTATATATATTCTACGATTTTCAAAAATATTTTTAATTTGCAAACAAATAATTACCCAATCAAGAAATAGATTATAATTTAAAATTATCCAGATCTGACCCAATTCCAAGATGTTTAGAGCTTGCCTTGACTTTTCGCCGGTCCCATCACTGACCGGATTTTATAACCGCATTGACATTCAAAATTTTCTGAGAAACAGTTTTTTTTTTTCATTAGGAATTTGTATTTTTTAGGTAATTTGTAAAACTCTTATATTATCGAGTCATGTAATATAATGAGCTACGAGTTGTACAATTCTTGCTTAATGCTCAAATAAAATTATCTATTTCTCATTATTAAGGTGTAACTATTTTCAAAATTATAGTGCTTATTAAACATATATCATTTAGTAATCTAAGTAATAAATTACAATATTTTATGAAATGAAAAAATAAATAAATTTTGGGCCATTTATTTAACTTATGCAGAATATATAAATTAAATAAATAAAACAATAAAATCGAACAAGTAATCTTTGTTGGTATCAACAGTAGTGTATGAATATTTTAAAGAATACAGGAAACATTGGCTTAAAAATGGGACAAGGCGAATATGTAAATTGGCGAACTGATCTACTGTGTTGAAGGTCGCCATCTTGAGATAAGTTTCCATTCAAGAACGGTCTAAATTCTATCACAAAAATACTTCACAACGTTTCATCTATATAATTTATTAATATATTTATGAAATATGAAATAAATTAAAAAAATATCGTTTAATATGAAGAAAAATGTTTTCATGAGTAAAAAAAAAATGTACACATATTTATATTAAATATTCATCATAATTTTTTGTATTGGTTCTTTCATTTCCAAAGTGAACCCTAATCGATTTTAAATAAATAGTGATAAGTATCGATTCACAAGTAAAAAAAAAATATTTTGAAAAGGAGAGTGAAAATGAGTACATTTTCTAAATAGCCTTTTTTTTTCTAGAAGTGTTACGAAACTTCCATTTCTTAAGTCTTAAAATAATAAACAATAAACTTATGTTATCGTACCATTATAGTAAGAAAAACATAACTTTTTACAGTACAATTTTTATATCGTTTTCCCTCAAAGTCATACACCATTTTTTAACTCTAAAAAAAACACAATACATTTTATTGTTAACATAATCGGCGTTGAATTTTTTACCTTGCCTAAACAAGTTTTAATATTTTTTAACTACCATGGATATAATCGGAGATTTTCGGAAATGTTTCCTATAAATAAAGAACTTCTTGATTTATTTTACAAAAATATTGGTTTTGATATTATAATTGGAATACAAAAATTAGTGTTTCGCGTTTCTAGAAAATTTGCCAACGATAACTAGGGTTTACTTTGAAAATAAACGAATCATATGATGTATATATGAAATAAATTCAAATAACTTTTACTAAATAAAATATGTTTTTGCATAGATAATACTATTATATAAACGGATAGCCCTTTCTTCGTTTGTAACTTCTGACAGTGAATACTACTTTACCGAAATAAACAATAACTTTTTTGTACCATACCTTTTAAATGAAAATATATTTTTATAGTGTAAAAATAGATACTAAGGTATGTGCTTTAGGCCACATGTTAAAAGTGAAAACATCAACAAGACCAGATTAATAATATGAACTATAAATTATAAATAATATCTCATTATAAAGAAGATGAAATGCTAAACATTTCCTCGCTTACAATATGCAGGTCTGATTTTTAGTTTCTGCGATATTATAATCCATATCTCCCATAAAACTCGTTATGATTTCCTTTTCGCCTTTCTAACACGGCTTCGCGTTAATATAAAATTTTAAATAATAGCTCATTACAAACCCGAGTGTTACACATCGAAAATCTGACGGCTCAACCTAATTCACTCTCCATAAAAAAAAATGCAAAACGTACCTTAAAAAAGCTTTCAATTAAAAAAATCAAATAAATTTATTTTATTAATTCAAACATATTTTTCTTTTGGAATAAACATTATTTAGTGAGATTATCAGATTATCAATACATTGATAGTCGTAAAAAAATATATTTTTTTTCGTTTTAAATAAACGGCAATTTAAAATATTTGACTGAATGTAAAAAAGGTCTTGGAGACAATACAAATGAATCAGCGAAACTTCACACTCCTAGACCAGCATTGACGTCCGGCTACCACGCATATCCTTGGGAAAATGGTTGAAATAGTTGGCTGTCTGGGAATGACATCTAGTGAAACCTATTTCCGAGAAGTTACGACTTACATTTTGCTTTACCATGTGCAGTTGAGTACCATAAGAACTACATTGTTTCCTTTGGTATTCCAAATAGCTGCCTAGGAGTAACAAGGTCTAACTACAATGTAAATTAATCCGCGAAAATTCACCTTTCGCAGACCTACATCGATGTCCAACTAGCTCTGAGCAAAAAAAAAAACATCGGATAGCCCTTCCTGGGAATAGCATCAAATGAGACCGACTTCCAAGAAGGTAGGCCTAATTGTCCCAGCGGCTATCAGGAGGTTCTACCCCCACCAGTTCCCGGCAATACGGGACCACTGTTCAAGGAAACGTCTCAATAGCAGCTAGGATGAGCACATCATTACAAGACGTAATCATATACCGGTTCAAGTCTATACGATCAAGACGGGGAACGAAGATAACTCAGGAAAATAAAAAGAAGCTAGACAGCTATTTGAAAGGGACAACCCCGAAGCTATTGCTAACAATTGCTTTTAGCGGTG